CGATGCGGACCTGGGCCGCGCAGGGCACGTCCGCCCCGGGCCGCACGGCGCGGGCGATGCGGCGCATGACGAGCGGGCCGCAGTACGCGACGCCGTCGTCGACGTGCGACCCGCGGCGGACGAGGTCGTCGACGACGGCGATCTCCGCCGGCCCGAGCACGAGGGCGTGGTGCGTGTCCGAGCAGGACAGCTTGATGCGCTTGCAGTACTTGGACATGAGGACGGGCCCGGACTGCGCGCGGAGCGGGAAGACGAAGTCGCGCGCGGCGGACACGTCGACGTCCTCGAGCCCGTCGCCGCCGACGGCGAAGAACAGGAGCTTCGGCTGCTCCTCGTGGGGCAGCGCCCCCAGGAAGCGGTAGACGCGGCCGCAGAGCCGCAGGTCCCGGCGCGCGAAGGCCGCGAGCCGCTCCCGGCCGGGCCGGCCCCTGTCGCCGTTGTCCCAGCGGACGTGGAGCACGCGGCCGCCGGGGAATCGGCGCTCGAGGCGGCTCGAGCCGCGCGCGGGGCGCGCCAGTACGACCCGGTCGCGCGCCTCCGAGAGGTCCACGCGGCCGCCGTAGTAGGCCGCGCGCGCGGCCTCCGCCGCCGCGGGCCGCGCGGCGGCGGCCGCGGCGCCGCCGCCGCGCGCGAGCGCGCCGAGCTCCGCGACCATGGCCGCCGACCCCTCGGGCTTGGCGCGCGTCACGCGGCGGAGCGCCTCGACGTCGAACCGCTGGCCGTGGGCCGTCGCGAGGCGCGCGAGCTCGTAGAGCGCGTCGAAGCCCCAGCCGTTCGCGCGCGCGTAGTCGTGCGCCGCGGCGCCGACGTCGTCGCGGAAGTCGAAGGCCTCGACGGGCGCCGGCGCCTCCGGCGCCGCGCCGGCGGCGGCGGCGGCCTCCGCGGCGCGCGCCGGGACCGGGACCGCGGCGCCGGCGCCGGCCTCGACGGCGCGCGCGGCGCCCGCGACCGGCGCGGCGGGCAGGACGGCCTCGGCGAGCGCCGCGGCGTCCGCGCGCGTCCCCTCGTCCCCCGCGAGCGCCCGCGCGGCGACGACGAGCGCCCGCGCGCGGCGGAGGGCCGCGGATCGGGGCTCGAAGTCGAGGTCGTCGAGGTCGCCGCCCGCGGCCGGCGCCGCGTCGACGCCGAGCGCGTCCCACCGCGTCGCGCGGAGCTCGACGCGCGCGTCCCTGAGGTCGGTCCCGCGCGGGCCGAAGGCGACGGAGTACTTCGCGCCGGCGCCCCCCTGGTCGAGGACGCCGACGGCCTTGAGCAGGGCGTAGAGGTCGTCGCACGCGGCCTTGGTCACGTTCCTGTTCCGGCCGAGGAAGCGCGACACGGCGCGCGCCTCGTTCGTCGTCGCGTCGAGCGCCGCCACCGCGGGCTGGACGATCTTCTCGACCCAGGCGTCGCGGCCGACGCGCGTCCCCCGGGCCAGCGACTGCGC